TCCTTTGCAACCATAAAATATACTCTCTCCGTCTTAAAATAAATGATCAACTTTTTCTTTTTAATCTGTTTCAAAAGAAATAATCTTGTTCTTATTTTAATAATACTTCAATTTCAATTAAGAGTGCAAAATTAAAGAACATTTTAATATATTTGATATAATTTAAATTTAGAATCACAAAATTAAAAAATCTTTTTTATTTTCTTAAACTACGTATATTTTTTTTTTATTTTCCGGAAATACCTAAGTAGCATCTCCCCAATACTATATAACAAACCTAATTTTGATCATTTATGTTGATTTGTAGTATTCCTCAACCCACTCTCAACCATATTATAACCAATAACTTGAAGGCAAAAAAGCTCAACAACATTATCCTGCTCCTTCTCTTTTCACAAGGTAAGTAATTTTCTATTGAATAAATTTCATTTTGTGATGCTAATAGATACTTATTTAACAATTAAAGTAGGTAGTATATCACATTCATAGTGGGTAACTGAAAATGAATAATTTGTAATTTCGATCGGCTATTTAGAGAAATTGTTGTGGTTTTCCATTTCAGAAAACAGAGTTGATTGATCAACGATGAAGATCGAGGTGAAAAAATCAACGATGGTGCAGCCAGCGACGGAGACGCCGCAACTGAGGCTGTGGAACTCTAATGTAGATTTGGTGGTGCCTAATTTCCACACGCCCAGTGTTTATTTCTATAGGCCAACGGGATCCCCAAATTTTTTCGACGGAAAAGTGCTTAAGGAGGCACTAAGCAAAGCCCTAGTGCCGTTTTATCCGATGGGTGGGAGGCTGTGCAGGGATGAAGATGGCCGTATTGAGATTGATTGTAAAGGGCAAGGTGTGCTTTTTGTGGAAGCTGAGTCTGATGGTGTGGTGGATGATTTTGGCGATTTTGCACCGACGTTGGAGCTCCGACGACTTATTCCGGCCGTTGATTACTCACAAGGAATCGAATCTTATGCTCTCTTAGTGTTGCAGGTACGTTTTTGGTTACTATTTTGCCGAAATGGTGTCCTACTTTCAATTTATGCTGCTATCACTTTTATGAAATTTCAAATATGTGAATTTTAATTAATATTTTTTTATATTTTTATTGCACTATCATAAGAAAAATTATACTAGTACATAGTATTTATCGATATAACAAAAATAATATACTCAAACGTGGAAATTAAGGAGACTGTCCAAACCCTTACATTAGAAAGATAAATAAGTTGTTTTTGTATAAATTCGCAACTCAAATAAAGTATTTTAAAGTAAGTGTGAAAAGGAAATCCAATAGTAAGAAGCTATGTTGGAAATTAATAATTACTTATAATATTAATCACAATTTTTTAATATCTAAATTTAAATTATTGATTTTAAATATCAGTTAAATTGACTCTGAAAAAATAAATAATATCACCTAAATTGGGATTAAAAGAGTATTTTCTTTTAGTTCCAACATCTCAGCTAATATGTTTAAAATTACAAAATTTTAAATAACATTTTATTATACTTTATATTCATTTATAATTTAAGATAATAATTTTTTTAAAAAAAATATTATGTCTTTTCTTAATTTTTGTGTTGATCAAAGATAGTACATGAATTAAAATGAATAGAGTATTAGAAATAGGGCTATCCGTAGCTTCAAATGGCGTGAATACGGACACGCAAATTTTGTACAAAGGTCAAATCTCGAAAGAAATAAGCTTTACGAATGTTTCAGATGTTTAGGTATTTTTAATATTTTCAATTTAGTTTAATGACACTTCTTTATCACAATAACATAAATATGTTTGAAATTACAACATTTAAATAATTTTTTAAATAAACTAAGGAACCAAAAGTCGTATTTATATTTTTTAAATTTCATATTTAATCAAACAAAAAAAATATATAGTGTCAGATCTGGAAGCATAGGTATCGACGATCAAATTAAATTAATAAAGGACTCCAGTTTTCAAATATTTTCCAATCTGGATGTGTAGAGATTGTTGATCATTTTAATTAAATTAGAATACATTTTCGAAATAAGAAGAGTGGTTGAAAGTTGAATGCCAGGATTGATATTAGCCTCAATTCCTGGTAGGGTGCACGTTTTAAATTCCACAATTTTAGCAGTCCATATTTGTCCTCTTTTGTTTTTTGTTAGATTCAACAATAGATGTCCACCGTTGATTTGACACACTCCTAAAGAAATACTAAATAATAAGATAATATTATTATTATATCATTTGACTTAATTAAATCCAATGCCTTGAGAAGGTAATATTACTATTTTATCCTTTGACTTTATTAAATTCAATGCCTTGAGAAATATGGTAGATGATAAATAGTAATTAATGGCAAGGGTAAAATAGACACAAAAGGTAATTTATCTCTTGATTTTCTAAATTGAACAAATATTGTTGGATAACTATTTTTAGTATAGATAGACAAGGACAACTATTATTGGACGAAGAGAGTAATTTCTTATGACAATAAAAATTTCATGTCATTATTAAGACGATAAGTTTTTTAAAACATGTACTATTTTTCTTTTAGTTGTGTATTCTGTCAATGTCACGTTAATTGAGACAGGGAGAAAACATGTTCATGCTCCTATCCTTCGCTCATAAAAAACGATAGAAGCAAAATGTGTTGACTCAACTTCATATAGTGCATTCTTGTACTGGATTATGCCCACGATTAGTTAGTTTTCAGATCATTTTATAATATGCTTTAATGATCCTATAATTTAATTTTGATAAACATATGAAAAGAAAAAACAATCTGTATTGATTACTTTTGGAAGTCAAGATAGGATGAATTTGTGTAGCTTTGCGTTTTCATTCGTTTCTCTTTCCCCTTCCCACCTACCCCTGCTTCCATCTTCCATTTTCTTTTCACCGAGTATCCCTCCCCTTCAGAGGCGGACCCACGTGCAAAATTGAGGATACACGTGTATTTGTTAACTTCGGAAAAAATTATGCGCATTCTATTTTGGGAAATTTGCATAAATTAGATATAATTAATCGTGCATCCATGAAAGGTATAGAAGTGCCTTGTGCTCCTGGGTTCGCCTCTACTCCCCTTCCCTCTCTTCTACTTAAATGGGAGAAAATATCTATGCCAAGTAGCGCAATATAAAATATTATAATGTTATGTCCGATATAGCTCATTTTTGTGTGCAAGTATCTTTTATATATAAGGTTGAATGTTTTTCTCTGGATATAATGTTTTATAATAGTGTATGTTGGGCTAAATGGCGTAATAACTATGTTGGGACCATATATTTTTGTATATTTCTTGATAATAGAATAATATTTTCCTTGGTACAAAACATACTTCATGCCTCTATTACAACTCCAATTTACCTTGTTTTCTGTTTTGACTTGGGGATTTTTTCTGTAGTTTTTGTATGATCACTTGAATTGATATATCAATCTGTTGAACAGATAACACATTTTAAATGTGGGGGAGTTTCCCTTGGTGTGGGCATGCAACATCATGCAGCAGATGGAGCTTCTGGTCTTCACTTCATCAACACATGGTCAGACATGGCTCGTGGTTTGGACCTTACTATCCCACCTTTCATTGATCGTACCCTCCTCCGTGCTCGTGATCCACCTCAGCCTCAGTTCCCCCACGTCGAGTACCAGCCACCTCCCACTCTCAAGGCAACAGAAGAAAATGCCCCGAATGCAGAAACTGTTCCTGAAACGAGTGTGTCCATCTTCAAACTAACCCGCGATCAAATCAATATCCTCAAAGCTAAGTCCAAAGAAGCTGGAAATACCGTTAACTACAGCTCCTATGAGATGTTGGCAGGACATGTGTGGCGCTCCACTTGTATGGCACGAGGACTCACTCAGGATCAAGAAACCAAGTTGTACATAGCAACTGATGGGCGTGCTAGGCTCCGACCTTCTCTCCCACCAGGCTATTTTGGTAATGTGATATTCACTGCCACTCCTGTTGCTGTTACTGGTGATCTCCAATCAAAGCCTATTTGGTATGCAGCCAGTAAAATCCATGATCAATTGGCTATAATGGACAACGATTACTTAAGATCAGCTCTTGATTATTTGGAATTGCAGCCTGACTTGAAGGCTCTCGTCCGTGGTGCACATACATTTAAGTGCCCGAATTTAGGAATAACTAGCTGGTCTAGGCTGCCTATCCATGATGCTGATTTCGGATGGGGTAGGCCAATATTTATGGGACCTGGTGGTATTGCTTATGAAGGCTTAAGCTTTATATTGCCTAGTCCCATCAACGATGGCAGTCAATCAGTTGCCATCTCACTGCAAGCAGAACATATGAAACTTTTCGAGAAGTTCTTGTATGACATTTGAAAGAAGCGGATTTCTTGTGCTGCTTTGATTGGAATTTACAATGACGGATATGTAAAAGAGACTCCTTTTTATCTTTTTTTCATTACAGGTTGTTCTTTATTTCTTTTTTTGTTTGCCTGGACATCAGTTTTATTTCTGATTCTATGATGCATTGATTATATACTCAAAAGTTATACTGCTAGTGTTGTATGTATGTCTGTGAAGGACCTCAATCTTTTTTCACTTCCACAAATGTGGCAAGATGTTAATGCGGAAGCTTCTAGTAGGATTGTAGCAGTAGATTGGAACCGCGGATGGCTTAGTTGGACCATCTTTTATTCCTGAATATCTGCAAATATAATATTATCACTGTGCTTTGATCTGTTATTGGAAGAGTTGTTGGTTCTGATTACTTCATGTTTATGTTCAGCATACATGAACTTGATCATATTTTTGCTGAAATACACACAGATGCAAACAAATAAGGAGGGAGAGGAAAACAAATGTGAGAGACGATCAGAAAGACTGATATGATTCATCATCAATCAATCTGTAGCATGTTACACGACACAGCTGGTGATTGACATACAACACTAACAAAACAAACCAACAGAATAACACACTCATGAAGTCACAAGTTTTCACAAAGGTCAGAACCAGTTGAAGAAAGAAAAATGATTGAGGTGTTTTTCGGAACATCTTAGGGAATGACAAAGGGCAGAACAAGGAGTAGAGGTAAGCTAGACATGACACAAATAGTAGACAAGGAGATAGAGGGCTGCTTTAGCATTACAGCTGAATTTTTATCAAGAGTACGTGGCTGACGAGCAATACTTCCACCCCCATTTGCCCCCTTTCCTCTCTGATTTTTCTCAACATCTGATATAACATCCTTAGTTGCTGCTAACTCAAACTTATTAGTGTCACTACTTATGTCTGCAACAACACTCTTACTGTTTCTTTCTAGTGCACTAGCAAGATGTTTCGAGACATGGACACCTCTGATTTTCAACGTGTGAGAAGTTTCTGACGACCTGCTTGTTACTGCTAGAGCGCATAACAGGATAACTAAATACGGAATGAAAGCAACCTTCATTTCCTTTGGAGCTAAATGTCTTTATTAGTATCACTTGTCTTTCCTTTTCTGAATAACTATTTGGAATTTGGAATAGGAGATATAGGTGATGGAGAGTGTTTTTAGCTTTAGACCAAAGGCTATTGCTACTCTTGATGAGTATAAGAGGTTGTTATATAGGATCTTCTTCTAGGAGATGTTATTGCTGCTTTGTCTCAATTTTATTCCTTCCCTTTGCCTTTAATCTCCCATTGACCCAATCCCAGTGATGGGACCAAAACAGTTCTGGTCTCAATTTAAGCATCTGGAATCTTCTTTTTTGATGTTGTAACATTTGTTGTTCTGTTCTTTTAGATAAGACACTTAAAAAGCATGGCACATTTGTTGTTATGTCTTGATACTAGTGATTGGTGAAATGAAACATCTTGAAAGTTGATAGTGGTAGGGGAATCTATTTATATCCTAATGTGAGAATAAAGGGTTAAATTCCTATTCAAGAGAATATGATACCCTCCTTTTTTTTTCTTCTTATAACCAAAGTGTTCAAAGAGTCTAACTGAAGTTTTCTCATAGAGTAATGCAGGTAGGGCCTCATACAAACTTGCCTAACTACAAGGGGAAAATGAAAACCTCTCAAGGTAGTTCTTGAGTTCAACTTTAACGAAGTTATCGGTGTGCCTAATTGTGCTGCACCAGCTAATCAAGATAGTGTAAGAAATTGCACATAAGAAGCAAGAATAGGTATCTTTGTCAAAACCTCTCAAAAGGGTTGGAAAAAGTAGAACAAGAAAGGGTGTTTTATTTGGAAAAACATAGGTAGAGGCCTACATAGTTGTCATAGTAATTGTAGTCTCATACTAATACTAGAAACATCAACAACAAAGAGACATTTTCTCCAATGAGTTCTTTGCGTCCCTTTTATCATTTGCAATTGTGATCTTGTTCTTCACATGAACAGTCCTGTCCTCAGCTGACACGTTGAGGATACCGTTAATTAGCATCAATGTCAAAACAGACATTATCTCTGAGACATTCCTCTTTGTGCTAGAGGAATACCCTTGAGCTCAAATTTTCCAACAAGGTTGTTGTGTTTAGTCATAGGCCTCTCTCCTTCATACACCTGAATGAGCACACCTGGTTGATTGTTCGAGTAGATTGAAAAGATCTGTTCTTTCTTTGTGGGAATGGATCATGACTGAGAGGTGTGACATCATGGATCAGCAAATCTAATACTATCACTGCGTTTAGTCAGTTAGTTAAAGTGTTCTTAGCTCTGATTAATTCAGCATGACTATTTGATCATATTTTTGCTGCAATACACATACAAAAAAATAAGGAAGGAAAGGAAAATGAAGGGGAGAGATGAAGAAAGCCTCGTATGATTCATCACAATCTTAGAAGGTTACACGATACATTGTTCATTGATAGACATACAACTCTAGGATTAGCAAAAAAAAAAAAACCAACAAAATAATACACTCACAACGTCACAACCACAACGAGAATAGCTGAATTAAGAAAGAAAATGCTTGTTATCTTTTAGAACATCTTAGGAAATGACTAAGGGCAAAACCAGGAGAAGAGCAAGCTAGAAATGACACAAGTAGTTGACATGGAGATGGAGGGCTGCTTAAGTGTTACAGCTGAATCATGTGGTTGACGTGCCATACTTCCACCCCCATTTGATCCCTTTCCTCTCTGATTTTTCTCAACATCTGGTGCAAAATTCTTGGTTGACAACTCAAAATTATTGGTGTTGTCACTTATGTCTGCAACGTCGCTCTCACTGTTTCTTTCTGGTGCACTAACAAGATGTTTTGAGACATTATGGGAAATTTCAGAAGCTCTGCTTGTTACAGTTAGAATGCATAACAGGATAGTGAAACAAGGAAAGAAAGCAATCTTCATTTTTCTTTAGAACTAAATATCTTTACTGGTCTCACTAGTCCTCCCTTTCTGTATAGCCTGTTGGAAAAGGAGAGAACTTAAAGAGCAAAAGTAGTGAATTAGGAGATGGAGAGAGTTCAATGATGAACTATTTAGTTCTGGACCAAAGCAAGCTATGAATACTCTTGATGAGTATAAGAGGTTATTATATAGGATCTTCATCTAGGTGGTGTTCAATGTTGCTTTATCTCAAATTTTGTTCCTTTCACCGTTGTATAGAATATGGCCCAACCCTGGAAATGGGACCAAAATGGTTTTTGTTTCTGGAATTTGACATTTCGTATTCGATGGCAATGTTCTCCCCATTTTTTTAGTTTTGGTGAATTTGACTAATGTTTTGCACACAGGGCGGGTTATATTTCTGGCAACACTGAAGGGTGATTTTATGCTTTGATGCTTCTGAATCCTTAAATTGATCAATTCTTGACCATTGAAGCACACTAGCAAATGTATTTAATATTCTGGTTTGAGAATAAAGAGTCAAATTTTAACATTTACTGTCACATTCTTCTTTCAAGAGAACAGGATGCCCTCCTTTTTCCTTCCAACCAAAGTGTCTAATTGAAGTTTTCTCATAGAGGCATCAGGTAGGAAGGCATGTAGGTCCTCAGAAGAGATGTGCTTTTGGTGGGGTTGTTCTTCTTCATGGCTTCGTCCTTGGAATTGTACCTCTCAGGTTCTTGAACCATTCTCTGTATGTCCTATTCCCTCTAATGTTTGATCTTGTTCTTCGCCATAGCAGTTTGGTCAACACCTACAGTAATGCGGTTAGCATCATTGTTAAGGTAGACATTGATATGTGACAACCCCTTTAGCTCAAAACTCACAAGAAGATAATCAATCTTTTCAATGGGCTTCTCTTCTTCAGGTTGAGAAGATTTGATCTTTCTTTGTTGAAAGAGTAAAAGAACTTGGAACAAATTCAGTTACCACCAGTTTATGTTATATCCATCAATTATACTGCCACACATAACTCTTCATTACCTCTAATTAAACCTATAGCTTTCATGTCTATATTGGTTATCCACATTGTGGTGCACCAGCTAATCAAGGTATTGCAGGAAAATTGCAGATAAGAAGCAAGAACAGACATCACATAGCCAAAAACTCTAAAGATAAATGGAAACAGCATTAAGATGAAAAATGAAATTTATTTAGAAAAACTTAGGGTCTACATAGATGTAATATTGATTATTCTCTCACACCAGAACTGAACACTAAAAGCAGTCACTAAAATAGTACACACAGTTTATATTTCTATAGAAATATTAACATATCATCTTTAATCAACTTCCTCAATCTTTGGCCCTGGACCATTAGCTGCAGATCCTCCTTGGCCATAACCAGCTCCAGTGTCAGCACTGCCTCCCATGGGCATATCTCCACCAGCACCACCTTGGTACATCTTTGAAATTATTGGATTGCACAAGTTCTCCAACTCCTTCAATTTATCCTCAAATTCATCTACTTCAGCCAATTGGTTTCCATCCAACCATTCAATTGTCTCATCCACAGCCTTGTCAATCTTCTGTTTGTCAGATGGATCCAATTTCCCTGAGAATTTCTCATCTCTCACTGTATTCCTCATGTTGTAAGCATAATTCTCCAATGCGTTCTTCGCCTCAACCTTTTTCTTCATGGACTCATCCTCTTCCTTGTACCTTTCCGCTTCTTGAACCATCCTCTCAATGTCGTCCTTGCTTAACCTTCCTTTATCATTTGTAATTGTGATCTTGTTCTTCACACCAGCAGTCTTGTCCTCAGCCGACACGTTGAGAATGCCATTAGCATCAATGTCAAAACAGACATTGATCTGAGGCACTCCTCTTGGTGCTGGAGGAATACCCTTGAGCTCAAATTTCCCAAGAAGGTTGTTGTCTTTAGTCATAGGCCTCTCTCCTTCATACACCTGAATGAGCACACCTGGTTGATTGTCCTGGTAGGTCGAAAAGATCTGCTCTTTCTTCGTTGGAATTGTAGTGTTTCTTGGAATCAACACTGTCATCACACCACCAGCAGTTTCAAGACCAAGACTGAGAGGTGTGACATCAAGAAGCAGCAAATCTTGAACTTTCTGATCACCTTCTCCAGTCAAAATTGCAGCTTGAACAGCAGCACCATATGCCACAGCCTCATCAGGGTTAATACTCTTGCATAGCTCCTTACCATTGAAAAAATCTTGCAATAATTGCTGTACTTTTGGGATCCTAGTAGAGCCACCAACAAGAACCACGTCATGAATATGACCCTTGTCAATCTTGGCATCCTTTAAACATTTCTCCACAGGCTCCATACACTTCCTAAAAAGATCCATGTTCATCTCCTCAAATCTTGCCCTGGTAATCGTAGCATAGAAATCAATCCCTTCATACAAGGAATCAATCTCAATAGTAGTCTGAGCAGTCGATGACAAAGTCCTCTTCGCCCTCTCACAGGCGGTTCTCAACCGCCTTAGAGCCCTGGGATTGCCACTAATATCCTTCTTATGCTTCCTTTTAAACTCCTGCACAAAATGATTGACAAGCCTATTGTCAAAATCTTCACCACCCAAATGTGTATCCCCTGCAGTAGCCTTAACTTCAAAAATCCCTTCTTCAATAGTCAACAACGAAACATCAAAAGTTCCACCACCAAGATCAAAGATCAACACATTCTTTTCACCACTACTCGACGATTTTTTATCCAAACCATACGCAATTGCAGCAGCAGTAGGCTCATTAATAATCCTCATAACATTAAGCCCAGAAATAGCCCCTGCATCTTTAGTAGCCTGTCTTTGAGAATCATTGAAATAGGCGGGAACAGTAACCACAGCGTTCTTTACAGTGGTCCCCAAGAAAGCTTCCGCCACTTCCTTCATTTTCGTCAAAACCATAGAAGAAATCTCCTCAGGAGAAAACTGTTTCTCTTCCCCTTGTACTGAACCACAATCATGGGTTTTTCACCAGGACCCGGAACTACTTTAAACGGCCAATGCTTCATGTCACTCTGAACAGAAGGGTCGGAGAATCTCCGACCAATTAAACGTTTAGCATCGAAAACAGTGTTTTGGGGGTTCATCGCTACTTGATTCTTGGCTGCATCGCCGATTAACCGCTCTGTATCAGTGAAAGCAACGTAGGATGGAGTAGTCCTGTTGCCTTGATCATTTGGGATTATCTCTACACGATCATTTTGCCAAACCCCAACACAACTGTAAGTCGTGCCGAGATCAATGCCAATAGCTTTGCCTTCAGATTTCGCCATTAGTAAAGATTTTCAAGAAAAGAAAGTTTTTTTTTCTTCTTTTGAAGTGAAATTTGGGAGATTTTGTTTGTTGTTGATTTTTTTTCTGATTGAATAAAGGCATGGTGATGTGGGTATTTATAGGTATTGAAAAAAGTTCTACTGGGTTCGGGAATGAGAAGACATAGAAGGAACTTGATTGCGCCAGAGAGTTGGAGATTTACCAGAAAGTTCTGGAGAGGGCGGGAAGCTGATCAAATGTTCTCAATCATTCTGGATTGGGTTTTGGGCTTGGACCAGCAAATGAGCCTCGTGATTTTGGGCCTGGGCTTGATCGAAAATGTTGGGACAGTTTTGCATGATTTTGGGCCTGGGCTCAATGGAACATTACCCACCCATAATGGTCCACGTCAATAAAACCAGATTAAGGTGTTATATATGAGCAACTTTCACGTATAGCAAATACAAAAATCATATCTGTATGATATAGCTATAGTTTGTATAATTGCGTTCCATAACAAACTTTATGTTTGCTATGGCTATTTCGTTATACATATATACAAAAGAAGCAATTGTATAATGTGTTTCGGTATACATATACAAAAGAATCAATTATATAATATGTGTTTGTATAAAACGAGAAAGAGAGAAAGACAAAAGAAAATTGGGTAGGAGAAGATTGTATTTGTATAATTATAAGTGTATAGAACGAAAATATATGTATTTGTATATACAATTTTCTCTCAATTTATACAAACACAAACGCAGTGTATACATTTGTGTTTGTATAAAGTGAGAGAGGCGAGTGAGATCTGGGAGAGGGGATAGAGGGGAACGAAAATATATGTATATATACAATTTTTTCTCGCTTTATACAAACACAAATGCATTTTATACATTTGTGTTTGTATAAAAGCGAGAGAGGCGAGCGAGACTGCCCAGCAAGAACGAGAGTGGTGAGCGAGATTCACCACGGATAAAGGCGAAATAGCAACAGTTTGATACGGGATACAATTAAATCAAACTATGGTTATAACATTTAATTTGAATTAATAGTTTGCTATTAGATATATTTTTCCCTTATATATACTCCCTCTGTCCCTAATTACTTGTCCACTTTTAAATTGACACACCTATTAAGAAAACAATTATTGACATAGTGAGTTTACCATTTTACCTCTATTAATTATGCAGTGAATGAATTAATAAACTTAAGATTTTCAAGAAGTTTTACCTTTTTCAAATTAATTAATTGAGGGTATAATAGGTAAAAAAAATTTGTCCTTTCTTGATTTATCAAAATGGACAAGTAATTGGGGACAACTAAACTCATCACTTCAATAAAGGCATTGAAGTCAGGAGGCCGACCCCCAAGTTTTTTTCTAATGAATCCGCAATTACATTAAAGTTTCCCCTAAAAAGAAAAAATGGACAAGTAATTAGGGACATACGAGTATTGTTCTCTCGTATGATTGGCTACGAAATTTTAGAAAAAAGAACAATATTTTTTAAAAATTGTAAGACGGTGCCAATGCATTAATGAATTTTCATCAATTTTATAACACATTGTATTTGTTAGATTCCTAATTAAATACTTGAAATTCAATAAATCCGTTTTTTTAATCAACCAATAATAATAATAACAGTAATTTGAACATGTGATACAGTCTGAGTTTCTTTATGAGCTTCTTATTTTATCAATTCTAATAAATTAATCAAGTTCAAAATTTAATTCAGATAGGAATTCAAAAGATAATAGCTAGATATTTTTTTTCATTCACAAAAGGATTAATCTGAATTAACCTAAAATTCTAAAATGAAAAAGTGTTAGTTGATTCATTTCAACTTTCAAGATCTAATTGATGACATATTGATTTATTATCATTTACTCCAATCAGATGTAAGACAAGGCATGTATATATTAGTTTGCTTGACTTGTCCTTTCAATTACATCTATGAGCGAAGATTTCTCTATCTGATACTCGTAACACATTTTTATGGCAATGTAGATTTTCACTATATTCATATTCTCATAGTTACTGTTTATCAAATTCCTTTCTCGTCCATAAATACAATTTGGATGTCTATAAGCACTAAATAGTAAAGTTGAAATTACTCTTCTTTAATGGATACTTTCATGGGTATAAAAAAAGTATAAATGGGGAGTAATTAAGAGGGAAAGAATAATGATTTTCTTTATACAAGATTGGAAATCTTATATCATACGTAAAGTGGTAAAGCAGTGATTTAAAGCTGCAAGAAAATTATAGGAGTAAAATAGAATATCCTCAACAATTAATTACTTACTTTGCTTTTTCCTTGTCACAAGCATGCTAAACGTTATACCAAAGAAATGACCAATCATAAATTATTTAAAGGTTATGTTTTTTTTTGGCCAAACACATATGCAGACACTTAAATTTGTCCCTAAATTTTATTTTGGCACTCCAACTCAACTTTGTTCCATTTTAACCTTTTAACTCTAATTTTTTTTGTTTCATTTTGGCAGTGATGTGACAGAGTATGTGCATCACACCTTCTCTAAAAGAGTAAAATATAAAATAAAATAAAATATTTAAAAAATAATAAAAGATTAACCCTTCAATTCTATTTTTTTATGTACCATTTAAACATAAAATACTAATTTTATGATTTCTTTATTTCTATATATGTTCTTCAACTGCAATTTTGCATTTAAAAATCGTCGTTAGTTATATGATCATTGATGATAAAAAGTTTCTTCATTTCTATTTATGTTCTTCATTTCCACTTTTTCATTTTAAAAATCAAAGTCATATATATATTTTTTAAAATAAATAATGGATGAACATCTTTTAATTTTTTTTTTAGAGTTTCTGTACATTATTGTGTGAAAAATAATCGACAAAAGTGTGTTGAATTTCTTTTTAAAACAATTAATTAAATTAAATAACACCACATATTTTTTTTTCATATCTAATCTATTTGGACCAACTCAAATACCAACTTTCTAAAATTTCATTCAACTAAATATGAGTAAAAAAAAAAAAACTCATGTTCATTGGTACAATTAATAACACTATAAAAAAATGTTGAAACTCGATAGATTTCGTTGGGTTGTCATTGATTTTCTTTTTTAAGAAAATCAACGCACTTTCGTTGGTTATTTTTCAAGCAAAAATACAGGGAAACTCTCAAAAAGAAATTGTTACTTTTTTAAAAAAAAAGAAATCAATGATCATCCGTCAATTTGAATTTTTTACAATAACTAACGGATGAATGACGATTTTTAAAATGCAAAATTGCAGTTGAAGAGCATACATAGAAATAAAGAAATCATAAAATTAGTATTTTGTGTTTAATTGGTACATAAAAAAAAATAGAGTTGAAGGGTTAATCTTTTATTATTTAAAAAAAAAAACTTTTTTTTTTTGTCTTTCACTCTCTTAGAAAAAGTGTGATCACCACATCACTTGGAAGTGCCAAAATGAAATATAAAATTTGGAGTTAAAGGGTTAAAATGGATCAAGATTGAGTTGGAGTGCCAAAATAAAATTTAGGAACAAGTTTAAAAGTCTATATATGTGTTTGATCTTTTTTTTTTATAACGTCATGTATGCATTATCTTAAATTTATACTACTCAAATAAAATATTTAAGAATGCAAATGAAAAACGTAAATTCATAGGATGTAAGTTGAAACATAAGCTCCATATAACTAATCAAAGTTAGTAGCCGCGTTGTACGACCATGGACTCCCTATTGACTATACATGTCCTTTTGCCTCTTTTCTTGGAATCCAGCTATTTTCATTAATTTATGGACTTAGCCATCGTTTGGTCAATGTTCATTCTAATCAATACCGAGTTGAACTTACAATCAGACTGGCTGGCCTACACATTTTTAATGATTGTTTATCAATGACCTTTTCGCCGCTGCCCATATCAACAGTGCCAAACGAACAAGCAAACACCCATTCCTTCTTCAACAGACTCACCAAACAAGTCTAGCTTTTGGTAAAACCAACAGGACAATGTACAAGAATTTTACTTTATTTTTACCTGTAAGATGAACAATTAAGTATCAACGTAAACAGGTTAAAATTGCATGGATAATGTAAAAAAAAAAAACCTTTGACAACTCTGGTTTGAATATGAATCGAGAGTAATGCCTGCAGTTTCTTCACTCAAATGTTAATATACCATACCTTAAAGTGATGTTATATTTTCATCAGGCATTGGCTTCATAAACAGCTCTTCATTTTCAGGCTTCCAAGCAACTTCAGCTATAGATCCTCTTTTTCCGACCTGAAGTCTCACATTTGCAAGTAAGAATGGAAATGTGAATTTGACTTATTAATTAGCCAGAGAATATAAAACAAGAGATCCGAATCCAGGAGCCTGAAATGAAGACACTGAAAATGGTTAGGCGTAGAAATGATGCAAAGACCGGTGACTGAAATCTTCACTAGTATGTTAGCTGGTTCATCATGATAAGAAAACAGTGATGAAGAAGCTGTTTTCAAGATTTCCGATTACAAACATAATCTGGCAAGCATTTGCATACACAAATCCCCTAGTTCAGAATTGTAAGGACAGTCGTCTAGCTAAACACTGCAAAAAGGTTTAATAAATCATCAAACTTCAGAAACAGACATCCGAAGTGGTCAAAGTTCAGCCTGTTCCAAAAGAATGAAAGAAACATGGAGCAATAAACACAATTTTAGACAGTAAGAGAGTTATGCAACAGCAAAATGTAAAGGTAGCGTCTTGGAAGCAACACATTAAAAAGAATAACAGATCTTATCATTTAAGCTCAACCAATTTGAACTGCATACAGACTATGTCGCTACATCTAGTAACGAATCAATGAATTTAATGTATAATTCAATGCTTAAATCTCTATCCTGCCAACTATTTCTAGACACCTGCAGGAATGGTAATACTTAATGGACATTTCGGCGAATTGTTTGAGGGACTCCCAGAAGAGACCTCAACTGATGGATCAATTATATGAGCAGAACCACCATCAATGGTGGAGCTTATAACAGTTATGCTTTTTTCTACTTTAAATATCCCTTCTTCATCAAAAAAAGATGTCATTTCATCCTCGTAAT